GAGACAAAGTATATGTGAACTGCTGTATGAAAAGTGAATTTACTCTGTAAATCTTCACCCAAATCCTAATTAAAAAAAATTAAAAAAAAAAAAAATCTTCTGTGTGTTTATCTGAGTAATTATCATGCAAGTTTATTCATTATAAAAAATTCACTCAATTCTACACTTAAGATATATGAACTTTATATTCTTTAATGGAAAACAAAACAGTAAGGCACTGGGAGAACTTTTCACCAACAGACCGAGAGTGAAATACTAGTTAAGCAGAGCATTTAAAATGGAAGGTTAACGCTGCAGGGAAGAAATGAAGAACCCCTGAAAGCTGAATAATGGCTGTCACGCTTACTGGACTTCTGGGCAAATCACCTAACTTGTAGGTCTTATTTTCACTGACAACAGTGGTCTAAATAATCTACTAGCTCCCTTCTGGTCTTAAAATTTATTCTGAAGAATAGGACATGGAAGAAATCAGCTAAAATGCCTTTAAGTTTAATCTGAAGACACGATACTAAAATTAAGATTAAAATTTGGTAAAATAAGAAAAGTGATTAGGAGAAATTAAATAGATGCAATATAGACAAAAAGCCTTATAGTGAATCCAGCTAAATTGGGGGGGAAATTCAAAATTAAATTAGTAGTAAATGTCCTTAAATAATAGAGTTGACATCTCAGTTTGCATTTTTATTTTATTTATTTATTTTATTTTATTTATTGTGTGCCTCCAGTAAGTACGTAATCTGATGTTTTTGTGTTCAAGGTTTTGATTTTTCACCCCATATTAATTAATGGTAATGAATAATCTTGTAATGGTTTGCTGTTTTTTTATTTCCCCTATTTATTAAATTTAGTTTGTTATCCAGGTGATACATAGAGGAATTCTGATCCCCGCCCGAATGTAACCTCTGTTGACACTGGATGAATATGTAATTCTTGTTTTCTTTGGGATTTGCTGGGGCTTTTGTTTTGTGGGGGAGGACATGTAGAGCCTGAATTATTCAGTAATTAGCCTTTAGAAACCATTAGGCTAATTGAATGTCAGAACACTTCACTGTACCAGACTGCTAAGTACTTAATGATACTGGAATGTGTTCCAGACTCACCAACATGTCCTCACTTGGAAGGAAAGGGTTCCTTATGTTGCTTGTTGTGTTTCATTTTTGCCTGTAAGATGAAAAGAAAGACAAAATCGGAAAATAGAAAAAAAAAAAAAAAGAGGTTAGAAGCAGTGGCTGGACTTGTAGGAATGAAAATAGGGCTGAAGTGTTGCTAGTATTGTGAGAGGCCTGTGAAGTAGTGACTGTTGAATGGCTCGAGAATAATTCTGTATTGTGGGGTCTTACTTCCCAAACCTCAGCATCACCTGAGAGCTCGTTAGAAATGCCCGGTATCAGGCTCCTCTCCAGACCTGCTGATTTAAAATCCCTATTTACATAAGATTCTCAAATGATCTCATGTGCATGCTGAAACTTACGAGGCAGTATTGTCTATACCTAACACTGTACCATTTTGAAGCCAAAAATAATATGTGATGGAGCAGTCCCTATGTAAAATTAGCAAGCTGAACTTTTCCTGAGTATCCCTACCACTTGTATTAAACACTGTGAAATAGTTTTTCGAAGATTGGACAATAATTATAGAAAGATGTGCCTTAAAATGATGTTGACTTTTAATGGTGATGATTAAGCAATATGATCAATATATTTAATGTTACTGAACTGTACATGTGAAGATTATTAAAATGGCAAATATTTCATTACTTAACATATTTACTATGCCAAAAACCTAATGTTCTCTTTCGTTGAGAAGTATACTGATGTCTGTACTTTACCTTGAAATGTGTAAAATGATGAATTGATATTTGTTTAGAAGGATGTAAGAAGCTTACAAGATTTGATGAAAGGACATGGAATGGATGTCCCAGAACGATCAAGATATGGAAACTTACGTGATGAACCAAACATAGTGAAATACTGTAGAATCAACTTAATGGGTACATGAGTGGTCACTAAAAAATTATTTCAGCTTCTCTGTATGCTTGACAGTTTTCATAACAAAATGCTGAGGGAGCACATTGATACGAAATTGTTTATCATATATAAACTTCGAGAATATCCCATTCCTCAGGGGTGATGGATAGCCACCCTCTTACTGTAGTTATCTATGTATATTCTTTGCTTTATTCTGTAAATGTGTTAATACTTTCCTCTTAGGGAAGAACAAGTGGCTAGTATTTTTTATGTGCCAGGCATAATGTATTCTCTCCTTCATTCCTCATAACACTGATGAGTTAACTATCATTCCCTGATTTGTAGATAACAAAAGAAAGACACTGTAATATACTTGCACAATCTAGTCTACTCAGGAGATAAAATTTGAACTTGAGGAGTCTAACTTAAGAGTGGGTGGCTACTTCATTGCCCAACTTCAAGGACCACTATTTTTACATTGTTGGCACAGTAGAGTGCCAGTCAGTTGGAATTAAAAGTGGATAATTCCCTGGGATTGTTGACAAGGCTGCCTGTCCTTAACCACTTCTCTTATACTGCTGCCTCACTGGTGCAGATGTGCAAATGTGAGAAATGAAAGTTCAAAGTATTTTTCTGATGTGAATTTGGATTTGTTCCCTGACTTTTTCTGGTGTTTTACTTTTAAGATTCTTGGATCTCCCAGTCAGCATCATTTCCCCGTAATCAGAAACAACCAGGGGTGGATTCTTTATCACCAGTGGCCTTACTTCCTAAGCAGATTTTCCAGCCTTCTCTCCAACAGCAACTTACTAAATCAGCTAAAATCACTTGTGCAAACTGCAAAAAACCTTTACGGAAGGGACAGACAGCTTATCAACGAAAAGGATCACCTCATCTCTTTTGTTCTACTACCTGCCTTTCTTCCTTCTCTCGTAAGCGTGCTCCAAAGAAACGCAGTGCAATGTGTAAAAAGTAAGATATACCTTTCAACGTGGCTCCATATAGTTGAATATTGGTGGCATAAATTAATGTGCTGAATGTAAGAGTTGGTAGAATTATTGGCAGGGCTGTCTTCACGTTTATTGAACTTGTGTTATCCCAGAGCATGTCAAAACTGTGGATTCATTGGTACTGTACTTACTCTTGGATGGAAAATAGAGTCAATATGGAAGTAAATTGACCCTCTTGTTATCACTGCTTTATGCCTTCTGACCTCAGCTCCACCTTCAACCTCAATTCCACCAAATTGCTACCATCATTTTTGACTTTTTTTTTTTTTAAACTGAGACTTGGGGTGTGGCAAAGTTCTACAAAAGATTTTCTCTCTGTGCTACGAAAGAATTTTTTATGTCACAATCTTTCATTTTCTGTGGTACTTGGGAACTCTTGGCAATGAAGCAAAAAAATCAGTTTTACAAGTTCCAAAAAGTACAGTTAATTCCTAGGATTAAATCATGGAAAAATGTCAGTTATTGTTCATTTATTCTGTTAATATGGATTGTTTCTAAATTTTGTTTGTATCCCTTGTGTTTCAGAGATGCACCTACAGAGAAGGGTACTGTTGTTGCTCAAGTGGATTCGAGCAAATCCTCCCAAGAATTTTATAGTACTTCTTTGTCTCTCTGTGAAGATAAACAGAACCTTAGAAAAAGAGTTCTGGATAAATCAAGATGTACAGTCTGTAATAAACTAACAGAGGTCTGCATTTTTATACTTTATCATTAGGCTAATAGAGATGATTTTAACTTTCAATCCCATTATATGCTCTGCCATCCACATGTACATGTCCTGAATAGGCTGACTCTACAGTGACATTTACTAAGGATATCTCAAAACAAATACCTATTTGCATAGCACAGAAAGTATACATTTGTTTGCATGGCATCACATGCACTCATAAACAAGGCAATAGTTTTATGGTGGATTTTATTATTATTAGTTGCACTACGTAAAAATGTAGTTTCATTACATGGAGGAAGCAACAGATCCTAGTTTGAGAACGTATGCAAGAAATAGAATGAATATATGTTGATAACTTCACGTTACATAGGTGGTATTGCTGTCTTTACAGTTACTGAAAGAAGAAACATGTGTACTCTTGTTGACCCAATCCTTATAACTGAATTTGATCTTGGTTACCATGTTGTTATTGTTGTTATTGTTTGCCGTCGAGTCCGCCCCGACTCATAGCGACCCCTCCTTGGGTTTCCAAGGCAGTATCACTACGGAAGTAGGATTGCCCAACCTTCCTTCTGAGGAGTGGCTGGTGGGTTTGAACCGCCAGCCTTCTGGTGAGCAGTCAAATGCCTTAGGCACTATGCTACCATAGAACCGTGCAAATCAAGGACACAGTTTTATCTCAGTTACCATGGAACTGGGCAAAGTGAGGTCCACCTTACTTATTTATATATATACACAGGCAATATCCTCAATTGGATAGTAGTATAGATTCCCTTAGCCACTCTAGGGGTTGGGACAGATTTTCTGGAACAGTGAATTTTATTTATAATCTTCTTTTAATCCTGAGAATTTTAGTCTTTTTCTTTTAAGCAAGTCATATCAAAATGAACTGAAGCAGTTTATTTTCTGTCATTCTTAGATATCTCTATAGGAGAGTTATTTATTAATTTTGTTGCTTTTTGTTCTATTTTGTAAATTTTTTCCTATAAAATCAGTTGAAAGAATAACAAAATGTACTTTATAAAATCTTTTTCTCTGAACATTTCTCCCACTGAAAAATTATTAAGGGTTCTTTGTTTCTTTTGAAGAAATTTGTTTTCATTAACTACCGTACTGACCTGGTTTGTGTATTTTATTTAATAAATGCCATTCTTTCTTTCAGATTCGCCATGAAGTCGGCATTAATAATGTAATTCATAAGCTCTGCAGTAACCATTGCTTTAATAAGTATAGACTGGCCAATGGCCTAATAATGAATTGTTGTGAACAGTGTGGCAAGTACATGCCCAGTACAAGTGCTGGGAACAATGTCCTGATGATTGAAGGTCAGCAGAAAAGATTTTGCTGCCTGAGTTGTATTAGTGAATATAAACAGGTAATTCTTTTTAATGAACTATAAATGATAAAGTAGCTTCATCGTACTGGCTTACATTAATCAGAGTTATCCCAGAATTTATGTAGTTCTGTTTTTGTTACTCTATCATTGAGCTATCCCATCTCAAGTGAACATTGAAATACAGTCATACACCACATGTCTGAGCAGCATCCGACTGCATATGCATCCATGGTCCCAGATGGTTCTAATACAGTTCAGAATCTCAATCGGAGAATGGGGCATAGGGGACGTAACTGGACATTGCAAAAGTAACAGTTTCCCCTGCATGCAACACCTGTGTCTCTTCGTCTCTTGTATACAAAGCATTTGCACTGCTAGGCATATAATGGTACAGTACATATATAACCTATAATACATATGTCTTGATAGTCATAATAAATGCCTGTTACTGGCCTGTGTATGTACTGTACTTTCTATCATTACTTCAATGGCAAATTTTCCCTGCTTACAAAATTTTATCATATAATGATGTATGCTTCAACTCATATGCAGTACATCTTGAGTGTTGTAGCATTATCTCTCTGTTTACTTTTCTTTTGAAAATATTACCATGAAGTGCGTCATGGCTCCTAGTCACAGCAAACCCAGTGCTAGTGATAACAGCAGCAAGAGGCAAAGAAGAAGTATCGACTTGGAAGAGAAACAAAAGGTTATTAAACAGCATGAAGGTGGAAAATCAGTAAATGCTATCGCTCGTGATTTAGGCATGTCTCACTCAACAATCACAACGATCCTCAAAAACAAAGAAAAAATTCTCCGAGCTGTTAAAGGATCAGCTCCACTGAAAGCTACAAGGCTAACAAAAATGCGAGAGGGACCTATATCAGAAATGGAGAAATTGCTAATGATGTGGATTGAGGACCAAACACAAAAGCGAATCCCACTCAGCACGTCAGCAATCACTGCTAAGGCTCGAAGCTTGTTTGAGATGCTTAAAGAAAAAGCGGGACCAGACTACAATATCGAGTTTAGTGCTAGCTCTGGGTGGTTCATGCGCTTCAAGCAACGTTTTTCACTGCATAATGTGAAAGTGAGTGGTGAGTCTGTATATAGTAATGTATATTTATGTGTTATTTACAGTATTAACCTGCTTAACCTATATATGCCAGATACATTAGCTAAAATACAGTCCTGTGTGTATACAGTATCTTGGCTATTTAGATAATACAGGTATACTACAGTATCCCACATAGCATCCTATTTTACAGAACATGTCATGCACATGAAGCGACGCATGACTGTACATTGATTATTGCTTGTTTAAAATGTTTACTTTTTATAGCACTTACAGCAGAGTAATTTTTCTTGAGAATTACATCGAATCAGATTTTTAGGAATTATATTAAAGATTATCTTGGCTTTGGGTATCTTTTTTAGACTTAGTGTTTACTGTGATAGAAGGAGCTAGAGTGATAGGTTGTAGGAGAAGATTCTTATGCAGGAATATTTTTTATTGTTAAAATTTATTCATGTATAATTTTATAAATAAAATAAAACTTTATAAATAAAATGCCCAACTCTTAATGAAAATTGTATAAACCCATGTATAACCAACACCTAAAACAAGATCTAGAACATTTCCAACACCTAGTTAAGTTACCTGGTCCTCTTTTCCTGTCAATCCTAGAATCCTCCCTGCAATTTTGCAGAAAACCACATTCTGATTTCTGTCACCATAGGTTAGTTTTGCATATTCCTGAACTTCATACAAATGGACCTTACATGATTTTTTAAAATTTATAAGAAGTTTGTAATCCTGTGTGTGGCTTCTTTTGTTTGGCTTTTTATTTTTGAGATTCATTCATGTTATGTAGTTCATTCCTTTTTACTATTGCATGGTATTCTATTGTATAAATATATCACAGTTTGTCCATCTGTAGATGGATACTTAGGCTGTTGTGGTTTGTTGCTACATGAATGGCTGCTGTTAATGTTCTTGTAATCTCAGGTCTTTCATTTCTCTTCAGTAAAATCTTAGGAATTCAATTGCTAGATACATGTTTGTAAGAAACAGCCAAACTCCAGAATGTACCATTTTGCACTCCCACCAACAGTTTGATAGTTCTAGTTGCCCCACATTCTCACCAAAATGGGATATTGTCTCATTGTGGTTCACATCACTTTATCTTTTGTTAGGTGTCTGTTCAAGTCTTTGTCCCTTTTTTTAAAAATTATTATTGAATTGTAGGAATTCTTTGCATATTCTGGATGCATGTCTTTTCTAAAATAAATGTATTTGAAAAATTTTTCTCCCAAACTGTGATTTATCTTTTTAATGTTGTCATTTGAAAAGCCCAAATTTTTAATAAAGTCCCATTTATTATTTAGTTCTTTTCTGATTAATAGCTTTTTGTGTCCTATCTGAGAAACTTTTGCCTACTGAAGTTATGTGTAGATAGTTTTCTATATTTTCTTTTAGAAGCTTTTTGGTTTTAGCTCTCATGTGATCCATTTCAAATTAATTTTGGATAAGGATTTAAGTGTTTTACTTAAGTTAACTTTTCAAAGACTTTGTGGGGAAAGGGAAAGGGAAGTGATTTAACTGTATCTGCTGGACTGTAAAATTTTGCTAAGTTTAGGGCATTGAGCTCATAAACAAATATAATACTTGTTCTCTGAAAAACATAAGGCCTACACAAAAATTACAGAGTTATTACTCCTAAAAGAATAAACCAAAAACCCAAAGTCACTGCCATCAAGCTGATTCTGACTCATAGTGACCCTCTTTGGGTTTCCGAGGCAGTAAATCTTTACAAAAGTATATTGCCCAGTCTTCCTGCCACAGAGTGGCTGGTGGTTTGAACCGCCAACTTTCTGGTTAGTAGTTAAATGCCTTAGGCACTATGCCACCAGAGCGCCTTCCTGGAAGAAAAGGAAGTAAAAATGGAGAAATGTACACAGAATAGGCAGGAGCCCATATATCCAGCATTTCTTAGCAACTTTATTGCTAAAAAATCTACAAGAATAAAGTCTATTCATTCTACCATGCATGTTTCAGTGACACAAAAACAGCTCATAAACAACTGGCAAATACAGGAATGATGTTTCCTTATAACATACAAGTTTTATAAATGTGCAAGTTTTTCCCTGCATTTTTGTGTTTTGAAGTGATCGGTATCATGCCTTAAACTCCATAGGAAAACTGTGTATTACAGTGAAGTCTACATCCTGATTGGATTTTTAATTTTCATGAAGTGCTTTCTATTGAGAGTGGATACCTTTGAGGACCTAAATCTCAAAGGAGGAAACATGATCCCCAAGGCTTAAAGCTACAAAAGATCTTCTCACTGTGATTCTAAGTATAAATGCTAGTTTAATTTAATTCAACTAGTATTTGTAGAAAAACTTGAAGCGTATTGGTAGCCTCTTTACTATAGGTAGATAAAAAAAAATAAGAGAGTATTACAAATGATCAAATGCTATGTTGCCTTTATTCTAAAAAAAATTAATGAACCTTTTATTTTTCCAGAGAAAGTCATGTTACTCTCTCAGTTCCAGACCAATATCTGAAATTACAGATGAAAATCTATAATGTCCATATGAGTGTTTCACACATACCTCAAACTGCATCCAAGCATTAATGCACATGTTTTTGTGTGGACATAAAATCTTTTGTTTCTCACAGAGAGGGCAGGGTGTGTGTGCATACATACACATATACAAACCTAGAAGTGTAGTTACTAGGGACCACATGGTTAACTTTAGAACACCTGTTTTCTATAGCTATACCATATTATATCCCACTAGCATTATAGGAAGGATCTAATTTCCAGGACTTCAAACCAGTTCTTCTGGGTACAGTCATGGCTGCAGAAGCAAAACTGGAACAAACTTGAATTTTTTTAATTTCAGTGAGCTGGAACAATAACCAGAATGAAAAAAATTACAGGTCCCAGTCCTAGTAGAAACTTAACCTCCCTCCCTCTTAGAAAACAAGCACCATTTAAGTACTGCATAGCAACCACATATCTTGACACCTCACCCTCCCTGTGGGATTTCGAGCAGCAGTGTGCTGGCTGCCATTTCCACGGTGCTTCATTCTCCACAATCCTGCCAGTAATCTAGTCTCTCACATAGGGCTGCTGAAACGGCTCAGTCTCCTATTTCAGGGCTTGGACCCATAAATTTTCCTGTTCTGGTTAATGGAAATTTTAAAATTGCAGGTCTTTGCCAGTTTCAATTCCTCAGTCGTGGCTGAACCAGTTGGAAACCCTGATAATTTCTCCACATCTTTGCCAACATTACTTATCTGTCTTTTTGGTTATAGCCATCCTAGTTAGTGGAGTGCTTTGTCATTTTGGTTTTAATTTGGATTTCTTTAATATATGATGATGTTGAGCATCGTTTCACGTTGTTAGCGGGCATTTGAATGTTAACAGTTCTTAGATGAAATAGTAATTTATCCTATGTTTTCACAGATGATAGAAATAAAATCGAAAAGTTTATCACCGTCAGAAAACAGAAAAAGAAATGGTGTTAGAGAAAAAAATGAAAGAATGCTGTATGGACCATTGAATACACTTTTGGACAAAATAGATGAAATATCAGAAAAAAAGGAAAAGACTTCAGAGCCACAAGTTTCTGTAGAATGTAGCACAGATACATCACTGATCAAAAAGGATGTGAATTTACCTTCGTCTTCCATATCAGTCATACATGATAGATTTCAAGAACAGCAACTGGAAGAGAAAAAATCAGAAGATTCAACTGTACCACTTGTACTTTCTGCTGACCCAGGTACATGGCCCCGAATTTTGAATGTTAAACAGTGGGACACACTTGTTGAAAATGATCCACCTCAAGTAAGAAATTTTAACTTCCCTAAGGACAATACAGGGAGGAAGTTTTCAGAAACATATTACACACGAATTCTTCCAAATGGTGAAAAAACCACTAGATCCTGGTTGCTTTATTCTACCTCAAAAGATTCTGTGTTTTGTCTGTATTGCAAACTCTTTGGGGAAGGAAAAAATCAACTGAAAAATGAGAATGGGTGCAAGGATTGGCAACATTTATCTCACATTCTTAGTAAACATGAAGAAAGTGAAATGCACATCAATAATAGTGTTAAGTATTCAAACTTAAAATTGGATTTAAAAAAAAATAAAACTGTGGACGATGCAGAACAGAGATTGTGTAAAGATGAGAAAAATGGTGATGTGCTGCTCTTATACACATAATATACCTGATTTGGTTTTTGACATCACATTTACTCAAAAAATGCCTGTATCTTAACAGTCAGTACCGTATGTATCGTGAGGCTCTTATACGGAATAAATTACACAGTTCATTAGCAATAAGTATGATAGCAAATAAATAGTAAAGAATGTTTTAAATTGTAGAATTAATTGGATTTAATAGTCATTAATGCAGATTCAATAAAGTCAGTTTTTAATTTTACCAATTCACACCTCTTTAAAATTACATTTGAGAATTGACATTTGACAAATTTGGTTAATTTTCTGTTTTCAGAAGGCTTGGAAGAGAAGGGGGAAAGGCTTGAATTTATCAACACCACTGTAAACAAGATGTGAACAAGCATTCTCATCATTATTCAAATAAAAAAAAAAAAAAGAAACAGTTTATGAACACAATAGGATCTAAAAAGTATAAGTTTTTGCTATTAAACCAAATACTTGTGATTTCTTTTTTAGCAAAGCATTCTTTTATCTGAGCAAAACATCATTTGTTATATTAAGTTGGTTAATTTGCATTTTATTGGTTTTATAATTTTAATTTAATTTGTCAGTGTTTTAGCTTTTATTATTGTGTGAGGACTGTAAACATAAAGAGTATATATTTTTAACAAATATAAGATGTTAAAATAAAAATATATTAAATTAATCTTCAGGTCTTGTGGGCTTTTTTTTTTTTCCCCCCCCTTTCAGAGACTTACTACATGCTTGAAATATGAGAAACACTAATAAAAATTAAGGTTCCAAATTTTTCTAGATGTGAAAGTGTCCACATCACTACACGTTTAATAATTCCCCTTTTCTAATTTCTGATGCCAATTTTATCATAATTTAAATTCTTAGCTATACTAGGGCTTGTTTCAAGGCTTTTCCATAACACAGAAGATGAACAATGACTGGAACAGAACAGGATGCATTCTTGGTGGGGCTGACACTAGGAATACTTAAAAATTCTGTCAATGATGCTAGTTTGCTACTACATAAAACTAATTTTGGAGTACCCAGGAAAGTCGTTTGAGTTTTTTTGGTTGGTTGGTTGGTTGATGTTTGTTTGTTTGTTTGTTTGTTTTACCATTTTGGTTTTTGACAACTGGATTGCTTAATCATTCAACCTTGAATATAAATGAGGTTTTGGGATGCTTCCAAAAATCCAGTTTACTTTCATAGGCCTAAAATGATACTTTAGATAATATAATACAGGTTCTGAACTTTCATTGCAAACATTGATGGTATTTCATTAAAGCTTGCCAGTCAATTGAATGATATCTTTTTTGTGTTAGATTCCAGCTATCTGCACCAAGTATTGAAATCAAACACTGGCTGCTAAGATAATTTGGTAAAAATATCACAATTATCCATTGAGGAACCAGATTCTCACTTAAATTCATTCAGTTTTTCAATAATACTGCATACTATGAGGTGCAGAAGATCCCTGAAGACAAAGACTCACCTGGGAGTTGGATATTAAGCCTCAGGAGGTGTGATATAATTTATCATGGAGAGATCCATATTTATACCCATTCCAAAGAAAGGTGATCCCACAGACTATGGAAATTATCAAACAGTATCATTAATGTTGCTGAAGATAATTCAAAAATGGTTGTAGTGGTATATTGACAGAGAACTTCCAGAAATGCAAACCGATTCAGAAGAGGATGTGGAAAGAGGGATATCCTTGCTCCTGTCAGAGAGATCTTGGCTGAAAGCAAAGAATATCAGGAAGATGTTTACTTGTGTATTATTGACTATGCAAAGGCATTCAATTGTGTGAATTGTAACAAATTATGGATAACATTGAGAAGAATGGGAAATCCAGAACGCTTGATTGTGCTCATCAGGAACCGATACATAGACCAGGAGGCTGTTGTTTGAACAGAACAAGGGGATACTGCATGGTTGAAAATCAGTAAAGGAGTGTGTCACAGTTGTATCCTTTCACCATACTTACTCTATCAGTGGCATAGTGTCTAAGGCATTTGACAGCTAACCAGAAGGCTGGCAGTTCAAACCCACCACCACTCCTTGAAAGGAAGACAGGACAATCTACTTCCATAGAGATACTGCCTTGGAAACCCAAGGAGGGGGTCACTGTGAGTCGGATTCAACTTGTTGGCATTGAGTAAGTAATCCGAGAACCTGGACTATATGAAGAAGAGAGTGGCATCAGGATTGGAGGAAGACTCATTAACAACCTGCAATATGCAGATGACACAACTTTGCTTGCTGAAAGTGAGGATGACTTGAAGCACTTACTGATGAAGATTAAAGACTACAATCTGCAGTATGGATTACATCTCAACAAAGAGAATTAAATCCTCACCACTGGACCAATAAGCAGCATCATGATAAATGGAGAAAAGATTGAAGTTGTCAAAAGATTTCATCTTACTTGGTTCCACAATCAGCACCAACAGCAGTCAAGATATCAGACAACGTATTGCACTGGGCAGATCTACTGCAAAAGACCTTTTTCAAATGCTGAAGAGCAAAGATGTCTCTTTGAAGACTAAGGTGTACCTAACCCAAGCCATAGCATTTTCAGTTGCCTTATATGCATGTGAAAGCTGGACAGTGAATAAGGAAGACTGAAGGATTGAAGCTTTTGAGTTGTGGTGTTGGTGAAGAACACTGAAAGTACTATGGACTACCACAAGAACTAACGAATCTGTCCCAGAAGAAGTGCAGCTGGAATGTTCCTTGGAAGTGAGAATGGCCAGACTTTGCCTCACCTACTTTGGTCTTGTTGTCAGAAGAGACCATTCCCTGGAGAAGGATATCATGCTTGGTAAAATGGAGGGTCAATGAAAAAGAGGAAGGCCCTCAACAAGATGGATTGACAAGTGGCTGCAATGATGTGCTCAGGTATAGCAAAGATTGTGAGTCTGGTACAGGACTGGGCAATGTTTCATTCTGTTGTACTTGGGTTGCTATGAGTGGGAGCTGACTCCACGGGACCTTATATGATGAGGCCAATAAAGACTTTGCAGTACTAGAGTTTAGAAACAGGTGTTGGAGAGAGTGAGCATCTGCTTTCTTCTGTGAGCTCCTGGGCCATTCCAGAATGCACCCCAAATAGCTGGGGAAACCTCCCGGTGTGAAGAGGGAGTCATGAGAGAGAGAATAGCATGGAGCAGCTGGAGTCTGAACTGGACTAGGAAGGGAAGCTGAGATTTCCAAACAAGGCAGCTGGCATGTGGAATGGGATTTGTTACCACATCATTTGGAGTTAGAGGTTGGAGGTCTTAGATTCTCTAGACTGTATGCACTTGGCACTGAGAGCACAGTTGGCTAGACAGAACCCCTTTATCATACATACAAGGTATGATAAAGTACAAGGAGGAATGAATTAAATGCAAAAAATTAAAAAGATGAAGATGCTGAGTTTATGTGTTCACTTTAAATTACTTTCAACTGTTTGTTACATTTGAAATATTTCATAATTAAATACTAGGGAAGTTGACAGTAAATTCCAAAGATGATAAACAAATAACTTTAGGAAAAGGAATGATTTAGGGAATTTTGCCCTTTTCTGGTTCTTTTTTACATTAATGTGTGGTGCTTGTGAATAAGAAAGGAGGGAAGAAAGAAAATAATAAGAAGTGAAAGTCCTCTTTATCATCTCTTACCTCCCCAGCTGCAGGAGTTGTCATCAGTAATCTAAACTATCACAAATTTGTTTCCAACTTATAATTTCACTGAAAAAAGGCATTAGAAAAAGTGATTTACTTTCAAATTAGGAAGGAGAGTCTCAGTCTAACAGTCTTCAAGAAATAACAATATCCATTTATATTGATTATAAGTTTTCTTATCATAAAGGGCAAGTCAATTTTTTTTTATAAACCTCAGATTTTCAAGATTGCTGTCTTAAATATTTCCCTACTTAGTGCTATGAGCCAGTTGTTGTTGTTAGCATCGTCGAGTCATCTCCGACTCATAGTGACCCTATGCACAGCAGAATGAAACACTGCCTGGTACCACGCCAGCTCCACGATCCTTGCTATACTTAAGCTGATCGCCACAGCCACTATGTCAATCCATCTCGTTGAGGGTCTTCCCTTCTTTCGTAGACTCTCCACCTTACCAAGCATGACATCCTCTCCAAGGAATGGTCCCTTCTGATAACATGACCATTGTAGGTGAGATGAAGTCTGGCGTTCTCGCTTCCAAGGAGCATTCCAGATACACTTCCTCCAGGGCAGATTTGTTCTTTTGGCAGTCCATGGTACTTTCAGCATTCTTTGCCAGCACCACAACGCAAAAGCATCCACCCTTTTTTGGTTTTCCTTATCATTGTCGAGCTCTCACTTGCATATGAGGCAATTGAAAATATGGCTTGAGTCATGCGTACCTTATTCCTCAAGGAGACATCTTTGCTCCTCAGCACTTGAAAAACGTCTCTTGCAGTTGTGCTATGCATCATTTGATGTCCTGACTACTGCTTCCATTGGCTTCGATTGCAGAACCAAACAATGTGAAGTCTTTGACAGCTTCAATCTTTTCTGTTTATTGTGATGCTGCTATAGGTGCAGTTGTGAGGATTTTTGTTTTCTTTATATTGCGATGTAATCCATACTGCAGACTGTATTCTTCAGTCTTCATCAGTAAGTGCTTCAAGTCATCCTCACTTTTATCAAGCAAAGTTGTGTCATCAGCATATCGCAGGTTGTTAATGATTCTTCCTCCAATCCTGATGCCACATTCTTCATATAATCCAGCTTCTCAGCTTATTTGCTCAGAATATAAGTAGGGTGAAAGGATACAACCCAGATGTACTCCCTTCTTTATTTTAAACCATGCAGTGTCCCCTTGTTCTGTTCGAATGACAGCCTCCTGGCCTATGTACAGGTTCCTCATGAGTACAATGAAGTGTTCTGGAATTCCCATTCTCCTCAATGTTATCCACAATTTGTTACGATCCACACAATTGGATGCTTTTGCATTGTCAAAAGAACACAAGTAAACATCTTTCTGGTATTCTTTGCTTT